GCAGGGCAGCACCTGAGAGGGAGCAGAGAGGGACCTACCTCTTCATCCAGTGGCGCCTGCTGCAGCTTTCGTGTACATGGAAGGCAAAAGTGTGTTATGAGACAAAGCTTGAAGACACCCCAGAGACAGGCTCCCTGCAGGGGCGGCACATGAGCGACTTACGGGGCCGTGGTGGGGGCCCTGGGGCTGCCCCTGCAGCCTCTGGATCTCCTGCTGGAACTCCTCCCGCTCGCGCTCCCGCTCCGCGGCCTGTTCCTGTCATGGGAATCGGCCTGTTTGCAGGATTCCCGGGACCCACCACTTCTGCTACACCCACCTCCCCAGAAGGTAGCCAGGGAGGTGCAGCCTGGGGAGCCTGGTCTGCACCTGCCATGCATGTGCACCGCCCGGGCATGTGTGACATGGAGAAGTGGGGGCGCCCTGTGACCTGCAGCACAGGCAGCTCTGGAAGCCTGTGTCCCACTGCCAGAGGCGTAAGAAGAGTGTGTGTGGGGCCGGCTCAGACGTCACTGCACAGCGGCACCCCAAATGTCCGCTCAGAGGCAGGGCCAGGACAGCCACCCGACCTGCTGTCCTTTAATCGTAAAGTCGCAGCCTGGGGTTATTTAATGACGTGGGGAGAAGCTCACGCTACAAAGGTGACCTCCAGTGACATGAACAAAAGCCGTCCAAGTCCTTACATCCATGAACTGCCGCTGGCTCCGCAGGTGCTTGTCCAGAGACTCCATCTGCTGCCTCAGTGCGCAGAGCTCCTCGGCCTGCCGTGCACAGGCCTGATGTCGAGCCAGCTGTTCCTCCAGTTCGGCCTCAAGAACCTTCATCTGGGACAGCAGCGCTGAGCGGTCCTTCTCAGACTGCTGCCTGGTCTCCGTGTGCTCCTTGGTTAGGCATTCCACTTCCCTCCGAAGCGCTAAAGGTGCAAAGGACACAGATGGAGGGAGGCCCGGCAGCTGAGGGCAAAGTGCAGCTGTGACATCGAATGCCCACCACAGACACCCTGTGCAGCTGGGCCAGCCGGGAAACAGCAGGCCCCATGCCTGGCCTCCCCTGCAGCCTGAAACGAAGTACTGGGCAGGAGGCCATGGGGGGAGCATGGTGTCTTCTGAGGCCTCCAGACCCTGCCCCACAAAGCAAGGCCCTTCCCTTGCTGCTCCCTTTCCTGCAGCAGGAGGGGACCCAGCAGAGGCCACAGAGTCCCCTGGAGAGGAGACACATGCCCTAGCAGCCAGAGTGAGCCCGTGTCCTGTACACACTGAGCCTCACCTTAACAGGCACAGCCATGATTGGGCCAGAGACCCACTGAAAATAAAGTCAAGCACTTATGCAAAAAAAGAAGTTACATCTTTTACATGAAAATCAGCTAAAATAAAACCATTAAAGCCTTAGAGTACATCTCGGTATTCCCAAATGACACATCTGGCTACTTCTCTGTGCCTTCACATATATTCTCCAATATGGGAAAATAAAATATAACTTAAAACTTCCATCAGAGGGAACATGAGCCCTCTGAGGAAGCCCCCCAGCAGATCAGTGGGCAGCAAAGGCACTCACTCATGCCCATGGCTACGACGGCATCTGGGGCGAAGGGTCCAGCCACCGGTAAGTCAAAGGCCAAACTGAACTGCCTGAGGGAGGGGAAAGGCCACGATCCAAGTGGAAACTTTACACTAAGGTGCATCTGTCAGAACTCATCGGCCACTGATGGGTGCTGAAGTGTCCAAACTACCCAAAAACAGAAATATTGAATTCC